AATTTAATATGTTATATAAATAATTAAAATTTTTAAATAATTAAAATTTAATATGTGGCAAGGGTGGGGTCCACAAGGGGAGGTGGCAAAAAAAAAAACCTAAAAAAGGGCCTAACCGGGGAGGACCGTTTCCACTTAACGGTAAAGAAACAGGACCGTTAGCTTAATTGGACGGAGGGATGACACTTGTATGCTTTTGCATTGTAGAGGGACGACACTTGTATGCTTTTGCATTGTAGAGGGACGACACTTGTATGCTTTTGCATTGTAGAGGGACGACATGAAGCCAATCCATAGTAGAAGGTTTAGAATGCACTATTTTTGTTAGTAGAGGGACGATAGATGGCCTTAACCCACCCATATTTTGGAGAAAGTCTACCATACAACGGGAATAACACAGATGGTATTCCCATTCAATAACAAAATGACAGCTCATTAAATTTGAGCACCTCATCATCTGATTCATCACCCAACTAAAAATAGCTCACCATTTGGCAGCAACCACAATTTAACTTAACGGATAAATTCTCTATCCTCTGTAAAATAACTTAATCGTCTCTTCCCTATACTCCCTTGAGCGCTCATCGTTGCGGCAGTGATGACCTAAGTTTTCAAGATCCCTTGCTCCCACCAAATTGTATCTTTCTTCTCTTTAATACCAAAACTATTAGTTCTTCAGATTTGTGAATAGTGGGTTCAAGGAGATTTGTGGCTGTGGAAAACTTAGTGGTACTCAAAAGAAAAAAAAATAACTTTTTCATATTTGAGCAAAAAAGAATCAGATTAAAGTTTTTTGGGTTGAAAAAAAAATATTAAACTTGCTAGTGATGGGATTTTGAACATAAAGCAACTCGTGCTTAAATTCGCCTAAATTCTAGACCAATACAAAGCTCCACGCACTTTATTCATGCATTGTTTATTTCAAAAGCAAAAATTATCTTTCTTTTAACTGCTGCATCGAAGGTTAGAAATTAGTTGAAGATAGAGAATGAGAACTTCGCTTTTAACATGGTACTAAAAAGAAGATGAAATCCAAAAACTCTTTGAAGTGTAAAATCCAAAGATAGTTTTTTGGCGAACAACATAAGCCAAATCTGAACAACCACTAGTGTTTAGTGGCTTAGAAATTCAAATAAAACCAAAGGACAAAGCTAGATGATCGTGGAGAGAAGACCATCTTTGTTGGCTATACTCGTGGAGGATTCAAGCTGTTCAATCCTGTGACTAATAAGGTGATTGTAAGTAGGGATGTGACTTTCACAGAAGATGAAGCTTGGA